TTTTCTATGAATTAGCTTGAAAATTATATGTTTTAACATTAAAAATACCTGATTGTTGATTGTTTGAGATGGCAGCAACTAATTTCCTATACAAGATTTTAAAAAATAGGTTTACTAGAAAAAGTCATGTTATATTTTGCGGCTCTAAACAACTTTTACTTGGTCGAACTCTGGGCAAAACGGCTCTTTGGATATGAAAGGTTGCAGACCCCTGGTCTACACGATCACAGTAGTGAATTGGTAATATGAGGATTTCAGCAGCACTTGACAAATAGGAAGGAAGGAAGGAAGGAAGGAAGGAAGGAAGGAAGGAAGGAAGGAAGGAAGGAAGGAAGGAAGATAACTTCATACGATTTAAGAAAATATATTTCTATAGTTTGGGAAAAAATAGGTTTACTTGTGCTGCATTCTCGTGCTCTCTGTAGGACTTTTTCGTAAAGGTTTGCCAATAAACTGGATGTGTATTCAATTCACTATAATAAAACGGTCAACACACGGTACATAAAAGCATTTCGTTTCTCTTATAATAAAAATATGGTTAGTTGTTTATAATGTTGATGTTTGATAAAACAAGCTTTTACCAGGGAGTATTAGCAAATGTCGTACGGTCCTTAAAGGCATCACGGGACTGTTACTTCCTTCCACACAGACCGTTCAGGCCAGGCTGTTAGTATGACAGTAATGGATACGAGCTTCTGAGGGCTGCAGCTTTGAAGGGTTTCTGAAGACGTGACTTCCCTTTTTAAAAAGATTACCATTGATAAATTCATAAACTTTACAATTTGAAATCTATTTTTGTTTTTCGTTCATATTTGGTGAGTAAATAGTTTCCGAGCTATTTCAACTGGAACCAATCTGTGTTGCTAACAGTGTTAGCGTTAGCTCTGCTGCTTGCTCTGGCAGATAAATTATCAGGTTATGTTGCTCTACTTTGCCATTCATTTGCTAATACAGTCAATAAGTAATAGCTTCATCTACATAACATTAACCCCGACTGCACTGGTACCTTTCTTGATTTTGACCATGATGATAAGGGAACCATTTTTTAATGTTTATGCAATGCTCACTTGCTACAGTTAGAAAATATAGCAATTACTCTTGCATACACCATGCTCACTCATGCTGTATGCTCTATTTAAACTAGCTAGGCTGATATGTGACAGGAAAAAATTATATTGTCCTGTTGTTTAACCTCTTTCTGTCCAGATGAATCGCTATCTTATAAGTCTTAGATGGTAACAGCAGCAGTTGTAGTTTTATTTTAAATTTACTATTCTGCTTTAGATTGATTCTCTGCTTCCTTCTTTGCACATTTTTCATAATATTGACATGAGCAATGCCAATAAGTTGTGAGTTCCCCCAGTAAAAGGATTTTATTGGTTTTCATGATGCAGTAGACTTAAGGTCTTAGTATACCAGGTAGTAAATTTCTTTACTGTATGTTACAAACCCAAACCTTAATCTATTTCTTATGGGTTTTATGTGATAGATCCTTATAAAGTAGCACATTTTGTGGACAGTAAAAGGATGCATAGGACCAGTGGAGGGCTGAGAACTGAAACATTGAACTCAAGTAAGATAAGCACTACTCCAAAAATATCTCAAGTAAAAGTAAACAACTGCTACAATAAGCTACTCAAGTACTGGGTAATATCTGATTTGGTACTTAAAATCATATAGAGTTGTACAAAATATACAGTTGGTTTAAAAAAAAAAAAGAAATGACAAATAACATGTGAACTATCTACAGCTGACAGGCTTAGGGAGAAGAAACTTTTCCAAATTGAATGTTAAACATTAATCCAATACTTTGATTTATGATGTTATTAACAACAGGATATGGTTCATCCATTGTCAATTTCTTGTAGGGATATTGGACACAATGTTGGAATTTGGGCTGATATCAGATATGCTGATTATTTAAAACCCAACTGGCCGATAAACCGTATTAATATATATTTTTTCCCCTTGTACTTTTAGAGAATGTGAGGTTTTCTCCCTTCTGTCCTGTGCAGCTATTGGAAGCAGCAGTTTGGGCATCTTTCAAAATAACTTGTATCAACATCAACCTAGAAAATAAATAAACAGCTGTATTGATTCATCTCTGCTAAATATGTATGTTTCAATTCAGTTTATGTTTCAATGTTTTCAAATGCTCTTTATCAGATGTGAATGCAGATGGAATATTTCGTAAAGAAGAGCAGGGATTGGGAATAAATGCAGTAATACATGTCAAATTAAAACCTCTTAACATGTTTACTTTCATGCATAGTGTCCCTTGTTCCCTGCAGGGTTTAGTATCATGAATATCTACCATGTTGTGGTACCTGCATGCTGAGGTAGAATTTCATGATCTCAGGCCTTTCTTTTGATGATTCAGGACATGTATGGTGAAAAGTATACCATCTACAGGAATGTATAAATATATATATTTTAATTCAAAGGCAGTTGTAAAAACATTGATGAATTTGTCTTGCAGGTTTGTAGAATACCATGGGAGGACTGGGGAACGGTCGGCGAGGAGGAAGAGCCCCCTCTCTGATGGTTGCTGCCCTTATTGCCTGTGTCTTGGTTTTGGGCTTTAACTACTGGGTGTCCAGTTCTCACACCCTGGAGCTCCAGGTAGGCCAACCTACACGTGTCTGTCTGTCTGTAGATAGCTGTGTTGGTGTTTACATAAAGAATATTAAAAAAAAGTAGTTTCATCCAAGCTTTTCATGCTCTTAAATAAGATTGATATTAAGTTCTGTGTTCTTGTTTGCCCCAGATTATTTAACCTTGATGTTTTGTTAACAGTTTTCCTCCCGTCATCGTAAAACATCTTTTTATCTCCTCTTATGAGCTGGATTTAGATCCACGTATCGGATCGGATGCCGATATTGGCAAAAAAATGCGTATCGGCAAAGCATGTAAAAATGCCGATCCAGACTGCCGATCCAGTTTAAAAAAAAAAAATCTGGTCTGTATTTTCCAGTTTCACCGATTGAAATGATCCATTCCACTATTTTGCGCCAGTGTTCCCTGAATCCGGTCCGCATTTTCCAGAACACCTTCAACACACCCACAGGTCTTTTTGGGTCCGTCTCCCGGCCTAACCATTAAAACAGGTGAATTGGAAGATAGCGGGGAAAATGTCAGCCGTGTGGGATTATTTTATCCTGCACTATGTGTAGATGGAGACTAGGTGTGGAGGACATTGGGGAGTATAAGGCATTTTTGTGTAATAGTTCACTATTATTTGCACTGATTTTTTTTTTTAAGCAGTGTCTTTTTTCAAGAGTAGAGTCCTGATTCTAAGTTAATAGAATATTTTCCATATTCTGTTTTGCATTTTTATTAAAACTTACAGTAATACTTGCACCTTTAACTGTTTACGGTTTTACTGTTCACTGTGCAATTTCAGATTGTTATTCATAATTTTGTCCAGTTTGTGTTTATCTCTTAATAAACAGGTAAGTTTGTTGTTACCAATCATTGTGTTTTATTCAATCTCACCTAATTTAGCTGGCTAGATGTTATCAAGATTACTAAAACCCTTTTCAACATGAGTCTTACAACTAAGGCTAAATACTTTAACTTAAACTTAAATACATGCTCGGATAGGCTGGTATCGGCCAGTATCGGTATCGGATCGGAAGTCCAAAAACAATATCGGTATCGGATCGGAAGTGCAAAAACCTGGATCGGGACATCTCTAAGCTGGATAAATGTTAGAAACAGTTTTTTCCTTATGATGGTACAAAGAAGGCCTGTTTTAAAGAGGAAAGGTTCATGTATGAAATGCAGATGAGACATTTTTAAAACAGTGACATACTTTGTCTTGCATCCTGTAGAGATCAAACATTGACAGAGTAACACTCTTCAACAATGTAACAGGAAACCCTCAAAAATGTCAAAACCTACTTAAACTAAACTACGCCTGTAGAAAGAGAAGGCCTGCAGCTTAAATAATGCTAGAGTTTACTATGCTTGTGGTTGAGCTTTTCCATTAATTTGTGAATGATAAAAACATTTTAAGTATATTATAATTCTGTGAAAGAGTGTGTTAGTAAATCAGTTTTAAAACCTGGTGATATCTAGCAAATGCAAATCTGAACTGTGTCCTAAATGGTGTTATTACACTTTAATGAAAAAAGAAGTTTGGATTTCATAAATGGTGCAAAATGGTTGCAGGAATTTACAAAGGTAAAAGTTAATCGAAGGCCACCTTGACATGTATAACATTGCAATGGCTTGGATAAGATAAATCCTGGTTACTATATGAATAAGGTCCTTATACTGAGTCTAAATTTATTAAAAACTAAAGATAACATCTAATCTGAGATCTTTACTTTCACCTTTTTTTAATAACAGATCAACACAACATCAAATGTTCATTGATGAACACTGTCTTTGTTGTGATAATATTAATCAGAAAACTTGCTTGTATAGAACCCGGCTTAAAATAAGGCAGCACTCTTCACACTAATCCTTTGAACTACTTCATTTAAGATGGCAAAGTGGAAAAACATTTTCTTATTTGATTTAATATTGAGTATACAATCTAAACAAATCTCATTCAGACTCAACAGGATGGAGTTTTATTTATTTTCCCAAGCAAAGCAAGGTGGAGAAGCAGCTGAAGTTTCTCCACCTGTCTAACAAGTTTTCTTAATACCTGAAATCTGAGACAGTTTTTGCTGATTTTCCTAACTGCTTAAAAACATCACTTAGTTACATCAGTAATGCATGCTCGCTCTAGTGTTGTTCTTTTTATCTGCTGCTTCTTCTTTTGTGCAGTTTTAAAATGTGTTTGTGTGTATATGTATATACATCATACCTCTGTCTGTGTTAATGAATGTTAAGCATCTCCATATCTACATTTAGCCAGAGCCCACTTGTGACCTGCACAAATATTTTGGTGCAATATTTCAACCTGTTTTATAGATTTAAAATTAGTACAGAACTAAAGCCCACCTCCAAACCTAAATGAATCCATACTTATGTCGCCTCTGGAGTCATTACCACAAAGGGCTGATATCCATTCATTTAAAAGTTTTTATTTGTGTATTTCAACAAAGACGAGGCTGAATGAGCTGGAAGGCCAGTTGCGGCGTGGAGAGGCTGAGCGAGGAGTAGCGGATATGAAGAAGAAGAAGGAGTTTGAGGACCAGATCCAGAAGCAGATGCAGCATATTAATCACATTGAAAGCATTCATAAGAAAGAACTAGATGATGTCCATAACACCTATACCCAAGAGAAGGTGATCATATGGAATTAGAAGTACCTGATAGTTTCTTATCAGGTACTTCTAATTCATCTAATTTCTTCTAATTTCTTCTAATTACTTCTAATTTCATCCATGTTTTTGATTCAAAGGGATTCTATGTGGAAGATAAAAACGGCTGTTAAGTTTAATGCTGATTTTGTTTTTGCCTGCAGGTTAAACTACAGGACAGTATTTCCTCCAGTGCCAGAACCATAGAGGAACTTAAAGGTAGCTGATAAAATGTGACCTCTGGTTCCCTAAAGCTGAGCGGCCACGTCAGCTTGAAGAGCTTTAGAGTCTCTTGCTGTGTTTGCATCTGTTCTGCAGGTCAGCTGAATCGGCTGAACGACGACCTGGGGAAGCTTCAGAAAGAGCTGCAGAGTTGCCAAACCAACACAGCCAACCTCAGCAATAAATTCACTGCTGACATGTATGACAAGATTTCTTTACACATTTATATTTGTTTAGAGTTCTTTAAAAAAACAAGCTAATGGGTTGATTTCTTTTGAGCTTATTTATTTTTTTTCTTTTTTGTTTTTGCAATACCTCATATAGAATAAAATTCAACTGATTTCCTCAAAAATACCTTATTACCAAATGATGTGCAGCTGTATGTGCGAATTAATATGTGTATAAATGCAGACATCTTGTGAAGACCACAGTAGTCATGAAAGAAAGCGAGGTAGAGAAAGCCATTGTTTAGAAATTTAAAAAGTGTTTTTTTTTTTTTTTTTGCCTCAAGTCATGTTTGAGTGACAGAATGTTTGACAACAGCACTACGAATAGGTCAACATTTTTTACGTCATATCAGCCACTATACCCCCAGGGACATAGTAGTGGTAGTATCATGCTGTGGGGATGATTTTCCTCCACAAGGAAAGGGAAGATGAAGTAGAATCCAAGAGGGAGACCTGTTTGAGGCTGTAAAAGACTTGTGATTTAGCCAGAGGTTTACCTTCTAATGCGACCATTGGAATGGTTTGAATAAAACAGTATTTATGTTTTGAAATCTGCCAATCAAAGATCAGCTCTGAAACCAAATCAGTATCTCTGGCTAGACCTGGAAATTGTTTTTCACATGCTCTGTAGTTTTTACTGTCCTACAGGACACCCCAGTTTGCTTGGAATTTCTTTTGCTTATGTAGTTTTTGTAATCTGTTCTGTGCATCACAGACAGGTGCTCAGTAATTTATGAAAATGCGCTGTATTCACAAAAGCAAATTTATCACCAGCGATTTGGAAATCGGTTCCTCGATTCTGTTTGCTGAATTGTTTAAGATGTGTCGCTGATCCACCCATTTGTTTTGTTTTCCGCTTAGAATGAAAGGGGCCCTTTGAAAAGACATTTATTCTCCTTGGTGCAAAGACCCATAAATATTTCTAGTTTACATCCAATGCAAGTTTTCAGCATTATTCTATTAGGCTTACTGATTCAGTATAATGACCAAGATTTCCCTCGTGCAACCTTAAAAGCACGATGCTCGTGATACGCTTCAGTTAAATAAAAATGATTGCAGTTATGTTTCATTGTATTTTTCGATTTAAAGGTTTGCTTTACTGCCTCACATTTCTACAGAGCTATTGTAACCATTAATGACTTTAGTTTCATGGCATTTTCACTGCAGAATATTGCACAGCTTTATATTGGTCAATCCACATTAAGTGCATTGAAGATTTTCTTATTAAATTGATACATGCTGGGGAAAAAATATATAAGCATATCTGATCCTGGTTGATGTGAATCTGCTTCTTTTTCTTTCTTTATTTATCTCTTTTGCAGGGCACACTGTCAGTCCCAGGTCCTTTCCCAAAAGAAGCTGTGTGACGAGAAATTAGTTGCAGTTAAACTAGAAGTTCAGAAGAATATGCAGAAAGCTTTTCTTCCTCCAGGTGATCCAGTACAGGTAATTTACATTTCTTGTTTGGCTATATGTGACATATGCATTCAAAATAGAAATACTGTAATTTAACAAGTTATCGTTCACCGGTGCTAATGAATAGTGTTTTGTTTACTTGGTGAAAATCTTGAAATAGATTGGACATGTATCAAAAGTCATTTTCCCCATTATTCCGTTTAGTTAAAGGTA